CTCGTGTGCCCAAGTCTTCCAAGTGTAAGTGTTTGTAATCCTTCACCTAGATTTTTTTAGAAAGCGCACCTTACAAATTTTGTGACCAACCGACTTTCTTTAAGTAATTCGGAAAACAACCACAGAAAAAAGAAGAACAACAGTAAGTTCCAATGAGCTTTGGGGCGGTCAATAGAAGAAAAATAACGCCATTCGGCTGCTACAGCAAGGCGAAATAAACCAGGAAAATTTAAATGTTCGCAATGTACGCATTTTCTCCGTCTCGGCGCCTTGGTCGTCAAACAGTACAATAAGCGGGGCGTTAAGGCTTGTTATATGTATGTAGAGACTTAAAGCCAATTAGTAATTCGTGCAATCAGTGAGGGGCACTTTGTTTACAGACTCCATAAAGTGCTTTGATACGACTGACGTAAAAACCTTCCAATTAACCACGCGAGCTCGCAACGCACTGCTGAGAGACTGCCGCCCTCACTGGAGAACTTGATGGACGAAATTGAATCGCTTCAGAAGTCTAGAAAGGCAAATCAAAAGTACGCAAAAACATGACCGAAAGGTGTTTTCCCCAAAAAATTAATTCTGTGGCCTTAGTTAGCCTCTTTGGTTAGGCATTGATGAATTAAAATAGTGTTGCAGGGGACGAATCATGAATTTGAATCAGGTGAAACACTTCATCGGAAAACTAGCAGGGCAAAAACACGGCTGTAGAACGGGAGGTGGCTCATGTCACGTTTATAATACTGTTTTATTATTACCGTTATTGATTATTCATTTATTCGATCATATATTGTTATATATACAGGGTGTCCCAAAAAATGTATACACATTTTACCTATTTGTAAGATTGGTGTTTATCATAATTTTAGTATTAAATAAATGTAAAGATATTTACAAGTACCATTTTATTGTTTTTATCACTGAATGTTCTCAAACTGACGTCCATTTTGATCATGACACTGCTGACAACGCGATACAATGGAATCGCATACACCATGAAATAATTCCCTTGGTATTCGGGTGCATTCGTGTTCGGTAGCTTCTCTCAATTCAGCCACTGTTGCAATAGTCGAAATGCAGTGAAAAACAATAAAATGATACTTTTAAATATCTTTAAGTTTTTGAAATAACAAAATTATTATAACCACCAAGTTTACAATTACTTAAAATGTGTATACATTTTTGGGACACCCTGTATATTTATAAATTTATTATTATTTATTTTTATAGTACTATTGCTTTTTGCAACCACTAAAAATGGCTACCTAAGCGGCACACATTTTTCTGGTAATTTTCAATGGTTTTATAAATCTGCATATCCTTTACAGAAGGAATAAACAGAAACATGCTTTTGCATACACCTTGTGTAGTGAAGTGCATCATTATCAAATTTTCTACTCAAAGAATAATATCTTTCAATTTAAAAGGTTTTAATTCTCGAAAAAATTTGAAACCGGACCCACCGTTGCCCTTAGTTTCCATTTAAGGAAATTGATACATTCCTCTGTGATATCAACATACCAAACGACACTTACAAAACGTTCAAGGCTAACGCAAACATTCAAACCTCTGTCTAACAGACAACATACATGACTACAAACATACTGCTTCCTTGATTTCAACATACCTTCTATTTAAGTTAAAGTGGGTTCCGGTAAAGATTTCATGTTGGAAATACAGCGAACGTGTTTTAAGCTGCTAGTTCACAAACGTCTCACCTTTTCAAGCATTCATATTTCCTAAACATTTTTAT